TGCAAAGACCATTTGGTCTCTAATGAATGGTGGGAAAATCCTGAGGTGGTTCTTGGGAAGAGAAGTGTGAGATAGAGGATAATAATAGTATGGTATTAATAGATGAAATATACAGAGTTCATACTATGGGCCAGGCACTGTTTCGAGGTTTTTGCATTGATTAATTCATTCAATCGCCACAGTAACCTTGTGTAGTATTATTATTATCAGTATTTTGCAGATGAGGGATCTCCCAGGAGGAGTTGCTGGACTCGGAATTCTCTTCCTAATGTGGTTTTGAATTTTTGTTGCCCCAGAATTCAGTACATGACTTGGTTTTTGTTCCCAAGTGACTCAGAAGTATGCAAATGTGATTCTTAGTGTCTTTCACTATCCCCGAACCATTTAAGAAAAACACAGGTTTGAATAGATTAATAAAACCTATCCGGAAACATAGTTATTACATAACAGTTAACCTTTATTGAAAGCTTTCTATTGCCAAACTCTGCTTTTCATATAATAAATCAATCTCTGCAGCAAACCCGCACGGTAGGTACGGTTATGACACCCGTTTACAAATGAGGAAACTAAGTCACAAAGTGTTAGGTAACTTGCCGGAGGTCACAAAGCTAGCAGGGAGCCGTGGCAGGACGTAACCCGAGACCACTGGCTCTCAAGTCTATTCCGATGTTCACATACTCAGCCCTCAAAGCTGACTGGCTAAAACCAACGATTTGTTATTATTTCTCTCAGTTCTGCAGGACAACTGGGCTCAGCGAGTGGTCTCACTTGGAATCTCTCAAGTAGTTATGATCAGATGGCAGCTAGGAATGGAGTCACAGGAAGACAAAACTGGGCTGGATGTCTAACTGGCTTTCCACTCACATGTCTGACACCTTATCAGGGATGGCTGGGGCTCTGGGGGGCCAGTTGGCCTCTCCCTCTGTCCCCACACAGCCTCTCAGTGTGGGAAGCCTGGACTTCCTCACTGAGTCACCGTCTCAAGGTAGTGAGATCCCTTGCACAGCCTGGGGTTTCCCACCGTGTGAGCAAGTCAAAAGACCCAGGAAGATGCTGCAATGTTTTGGTTCACCTAGCCTTGGAGGAGGTCATGTAGCATCACTTCCACTGCAGTCTAGTGGTCAAAAACAAGTCACAAGCCCAGCCCAGATTCAAGGGGAGGGGATTGCTCAAGCATGTAAACACTGGGAAGCATGATTCCCTGGGGTCCATCCTTGGAGACCAGCATCATAGCTCTTGGCTACATTTACTTCCTGCTTCTACTGCAAACTGCAGAGGTGGAGTTTTGAGCTTAGTTTGAAGAAGACAAAACAATGCTGCTGCAGATAAGTACACAGGAAATCTTGCCAAAATAATAATCCTTTTCTACTAGAAAAAAATCTGCAGAGGTGGCACTGAGTCTGCCTCAATATGATGATATCAGTGAGAGGAATTCCAAAAATGTCTGGAAAGACTCTAAGCCTCATTAGGTAAGATAAAAATTAGCATTTTTCTTATTCCTTCACTCTTTGGAACAAAGTTTAAAGTCTCTCTAGAAAGCAGGCATTTTCCTATTGAGTTCCTGTCCTGGCTCTGCTGCTAATTAGCCTTGACCGAGTCACTTAACTTCTCAGCCACAGTTTTCTCTTTCTTTACAAGCCAATTATAAGTATTCTCCATCATGGAATTGATGGGAGGATCATATGAGATTATGTACATGAAGGTGCTTTGAAAATTGAAAAGCAAAGAACTTCTCACTACTGGCTCTTGCAATGGGTGGATGATTAATTTGATGGATGTCTCCTTGCTTAGGCAGCGAGTGCCACGATAGCAGGGACTCTCTTGTGCACTGCAGCATCCTCATGGCCTAGAACAGGGCTGAGCCCATGCTTAAGGAGACAATACGCTTTATCATCCATGCAGGAACACTTTTAAGGGTAAAGAGGGACATTGTTAATAATTATGCTATAGAAAAGAAGGTATAAAACAGATGTACGAAATCCCTATTCTAGTGGACACTCAATGAACATTTGTTGAATATAAATATTATTGATATTACTTAGTTTATGAATTTCTTATCATTCTTTCTTATCCCATCCTTTTCACTCTCATCCAATTTTACTTTTATTTTATTTTTCAAAGCCAGAACTAAAATTCTATCCCATAGCTAACGGCAAGTTGGCCCTTTCATTAGTAGGTTTTGACTACTCTGCATGTCAAGCTATCTCTCAGAAATGGGAGTGATATTGTATTCATTCCACATGTACTTGTTTAGTGCTTATGACATAGCAAGGTCTGTCTGAGCTGGGGGAGGAACAGTGAGCGAGGCAAGCAAAATCCCTGCCTTTAGAGAACTCATGTCCTTGTGAAGGAAGACAGGCAAATATAACAATCTCAGATTCTTCGTAAGTGTAACGAAGGATAATAAAACAGGAGGATTTGGTCACCAGTGAAGCAGACTTTTAAAAAGGCAGTCTAGAGAAAGCTGAAATCTGAATGAGTGAAAAATCTAAGCATACAAAGGACTGGGGAAAGTACCGGAAGAAGAAACAGAAGAAAATATTAATACACCAGCCTGATGGAGGGTGAGCTTGGAAGTGCATTGAAGGAAAGTGAGGTCATGTGGCCAGAACCTAGGAAACAAATGAGGGGGGAGACACAAATTGTGGCTGGAGAGCACTGGCTTTGGAGTCACACAGACCTACGTTAGAATGCTGACTCTCTTTGCCCAGTGGCATGCCCTGGGAAAATTATTTACACAATCTAAGACTACTATTCAGGGTTCATGCAAGTGTCAAACAAGGGAAATGTATTTGAAGGGTCCTACTCATTATGGATGTCATATAAATGAAGACTGACAAAGAGTTGCAAAATTACGTTGAGTTTCTCAAATGAATGCTCTTAAAATAATTCACAAAGAGCTGTATTAGCAGCCTACTAACCAAAGCACTAGACACAAAAATTAAAACTTATATCATCTTTAAGGACTGTTGGGTTTTTTTGTTTGTTTGTTTTGGTTTTTTGTTTTTTTTTTTTTTTTGGTTTTTTGGGGTTTTTTTACAATTCCCTTGCTGGTCATTGAAAATTCATGTCTGTGGTCAATCTGAATATAGATGGCACAATTCAGATAGGCAGGTTATCATTTCTGGAAACTTCTCTGGCACCCCAGGCTTGGTGCCCTTAACTGTTTCCTGATCCCCTTGTCTCAGGCCCCTCACACATACTATTAATCCTCCAACTAATATAATCAGTACTTAGGCACCAGGTTCTCTATCCTCTTTTCAACCCTCACCACATCCTACTCTGCCTCTTTCATAGAATAAAATACTGCTGTTTCTAAAGAAACCTCAAGCTAGTCAGTCCATGCTGAAAGGGATTAAGCTTTCTAGTTAGAACTTGGCCTTTTTGTGCTTGTCCTGAGCTGCACCTGTTGTGCAGGTGCCATTCCAGCGGCTCGCCACTGAAATGGACAGCGTATGAAGTCCTTTGTGCAGCTCTGCAGGTGCATTAATTATAGACTACCTGGATGCATCTAGAACACTTGGCAGTAGCAAGACGGTAGTTAATGTTCTGTTAAACAATGTCTCCAATGGTGTGTATTGTAGAGGATTATAAGAGATAGATAATGGCTTACTATAATCCAGGAATCATATGATCACCTCGATTGCATCCCTACTCAATTTTGTTGCAAAATAAATCTTTTTCTTTGATAATAATCCCTCAAAATTGATAACAGGTATCAGCCTTGGAATAAGGTATGAGAGACTTATATTTACTGCCATGAAAATAATTTCTAGTCAGTGGAATTCATTAGCATTCCTAAAATGTTGGCTCTCTTATGAATGTGCCCTAGTTCTTCTCTGAAGCCAGGAATCCCAAAGGCATTTTCTTACTTTGATTTCAAATGTGGAAAAACTCAGTACTGCCAAAGATTGCATATTTTTAAAAAGGTGAATCTGAGTGGATTTTACACCAAATGCAGAAGAAACCAAAGCAATTTGAATGACCTGTGTTGAAAATTAAAAAGCACTCATGTGGAAGAATCAGCATGTAGATCTCTCATTTGAAAAAGAATAAAGGTAATTAAATCATCCTTTTTTAGTTAGTCCAAAGAAAACCCACTAAGATGAAATCAGTTTGCCAGCTCATTAGGTAAAGTACATAAAGGCAGCCAAAATTATCTTAGTTCCCTTGAAGCTTAAGGAGATTCAGGGAATGGACCAACCAATACAGAAAGATTGGTCAAGTCCATGTCCCCCTATCCAAGGAGAATAGCATCTCCTCTAGAGGAACAGTCTATTTCCCTAGTCTGAATTTTATTTCTCTAACAAAGTGTTTTTGAGAGCAGTTCTTTGATTCATGTAGGAAGAGGCAAGTGATGGCAGAGAGGAGTTGGGGATTTTCTTCTTAGAAGGAAAAGAAACCTACTAAATCACACTGTTAGAACTCACTATTTCAGAGAAAGCAAGTTTTCAGTTACTCAATTTCACTTATCTTGTCATAACAATGAGGAGACATCAAGGAAGGATCTTCAAAAGAAAGTTATTTATGGCTAAGTTTTGGCAGCTCCTTCAGTTCCCTCATTGGGCCATTAGTGCCTAATGAAAGCAGCTGTAATTGAACACGAAAAGGGATAAAGTAGAGAGAACAAGAAAGGAATTCTTTGGGAAACAACCAGACATGTGCCAATACTTCGATTTCATGCTCCTGGTGAACCAGTCCCTTTGCTTCTCTTTGTTTCCTCTTGTTCCTCCATGTTTACCTCTGCTAAAAAGTCTCATGAGGAAAAATAGCTAACTTTCATATCACTCAGCAATTTCATTTAAAATACCATCACCATAGACCAGGAAAACTGTTTAAAAGAAATAGCATAATGGTATTCCATTTATGTCTGGAATCATGGACTCACAAATAAGAGAACAGCATTTTTCTTAAAGTGAAAACCTTGAAGGTCCCATCAAAATCCAGCATCATATTCCCTAATCATTAGCACCTACATTGTGTCTCAGCCCACATCTCAATTTGACTGAGTGCTTTGTGTACAGTTTCTCACAGGACAGACCCCTGCACTGCAAAACCTTCTCCTATACTGGAATTTACACTGAACTCATGACCTGCTCTTCAATTTTCCCATCCACGGATCCCCAGTTTCTCACGCTTCTACCCTCAGAATCATTTCGGAGACATTGCTCCCCTCCTTCATGAATAATTCACTCTCCTTTGTTATAACAAATGTACATCGAAAACCCTACTAAGTGCCTGAGATACGAAGTTAAATAAAAGAACAATCCTACCTTCCAGAGACTCAGAGTGTGGTGTGAAAGAAAGACACATATGCAAGTGACGACAACACAAGTTGGACTAAGATCAGCTCCGGCGTAGACATACAGAATGAAATGCCTGAGGAGTAGAGTTTCAACAGGCAGAATGTGAGGGGAAGCATTCGAAGCAACTGTGACAACATGAGCACCAGCACAACGTGAGAGACGGGCGAGCATATTCAGGGAAACGAAAGCGATCTGTGCACGGAGCAGCGCGTGGCGGGATTCGGTCAGAGACGAGGCTGATGCCTTCTGTCTATCAGAGCACAGAACCCCAAATGTGAGCCTTCCTTCCCCCTGCATCCTTTTAACAAATGCGTCCCTATTCATGTTTCCAGGAGGAGATTCTGCAGTCAGTTCATCTCTTTAATGTTTCATCTGCCTAATTAAATTATACATAAATCCTTAAGGAAAGAAATCATATTTTCTGCTCTTTTCATGCACTCCAAACAAAAGCAAGTATCGGACACAAAAAGGAGGCCCCGCTTCTTGGTGAGTTTGCGCTGTAGTGAGCATATTCCTTTGGTGCCCATAGCTTTAAGGCAATTTTTTCCACAAGGAAAGATTCTAGGAGAAAAGACAACATGCTTAGAAATATCACTAGTCACCCAGGTCGGGGCGAGGGAGGGGAACCTAATTTTTGCTAAATAGAAGGAGGCCTGAAAGTTTATAACATTCATGATTCCGTGATTATTAGAAAATGGGAAAAATCATAAAAAATGCTAAGAAACTCCTGCTGCCTATTCCAACAACCATCCCCAGCTAGAAACAGGGTATTACGAAAGTCCAATTTCAAGTTCTACTAAAATCATCAGCCTGAGACATTTTATTCTCTTTTTATCTCCGCCTATAACAATATTTCACAGTTCAAGTTTTGTCATCACTTGTCCTTTTTACAATCTTTTTCACAATTTTAAAGAATGTAACATGCGTTCTGTGGAAGAAAAAAAAAAAAAAAAAGACAGGATTGCACCAGATTTACTCTGACCTTTTTAAGGTTCCAAATTTAGTTAGTTAGCCATTTCTATCCTTCTAGCTTTTCAGAAGCTCATGTGTTAGAACTAAAAATGGCAAACTTCTCCAAATTACCAGCATTTAAAAGGTTAAACAGTTTATTTTTATCCCTCTAGCAGAGCCCTGAAGCTCCAGTGTGTTCGGGCTTGCTATGACAAAGATCACAGCAAGAATCCAGAAATTATCTGTTCTTAACCCTTTCCATTTACAACCTTCAGATCTCGCTCTGGGGATTTTCTTCCCAAATTCTGCAAGCTGTTAGACTGAGGTTCTCAGAATTGGTCACCCAAAGTTGTGTGGCACAAGGCTACTACTACCTTTTTTCCTCAGAGCTGATCGTCTTGGTCCGCGGGAACTCAGAATTGCAGCATTCAAAGACCCCTAAGTATGGAATTCTCGCTACAGCATATGGACTCCGTCTCTGGGCTACTTCAAGAAACATCTGATTTTTCTATGTAGGGCAGTTTTCCCTCAAATGAACATTCTGATTTAGGTTGAAAGATTGCATCTCTGTGGCCAGAAATAAGTATTTTCAATGCTATTAAGTGAAGCAAGAACGAGACTCACATACCTTTTGTGTAAAGTGACATAATGTCATTAAAAGATAGTCAGGAACTTTGGAAGTAAAAACTTGATCATTTATAAGGTATATGTTTTGTTTCTCTCCCCCTCCCCCCTTTCTTTCTCTCTCCTCTCTCTCAAGATTAATTCTAACAATTACTTTCCTAAATTCGCTATTTTAGGACACACATGCAAAAAGTGACAATCTGATCGGTAGGTGGCAGAGGCTTGACCTTGTTCCCTACGAATTAAGTTCGTGTGGGACTTCTCCGTAAAGACAAATGGGGTCACCAAGAGGAAATCCGACTACAAACGCTCCTGGATTTAGGATGGGGCTACCTCCCCATACAGACACCGCATTTAACAGCTTCGTTCCTTTATTCCCCTCCACTGGAGTACTCTCAATTTTCTACCAAAATAGCCATGCCTTGTCTTTTCTTACCCATTTCAAAACCTGCTTTGAGAGCACATAAATGGGTGGCATAATTTCCAAGCTCCAGAAAAGTGAACTACCCACTTTCACAAAACAAAGAAAGCCTGCTGGGCTGTTAACAAACGAAAGAATTAAAAATGGAGTTTTTTGTTTCTGATAGGAGAATGCACGTTTGGCCTTTGGCGGCAGGCTTAGGCTTTTATGCTCTGAGAGCCAACCTAGAAAGCATAGTTAGGATGTGTGGTTAAAATGCAGGTATTAGATATAGAAATTCACTACTTATGCAAAACTGATTCTCTCCGGGGTCCTAAAAACTACACCTCTATTCTCAGAAAAAGCAAATGTAAGTGACAATAATGCGTTCCATTCCTTGCCTGAATGTATCAGCCTTGCAAAACCACCTAGGTTTTGCTGGCCTAGGTTTTAAAAAATGTATTTGCTCTCTTCAAGCAATTTTCCTGCATGATATAAAAGTTCTCCTTTTTGTCACCTTTTTAAGCACAGGTTTGATGGGAACGCAGGGAAGTCAAATCTTCTGTGGAGTTACGTTCTAAATTCAGCATGGGAGGTAAAAATTACGTAGTCAAATTACTCTTGAAAATCCTTCAAATTATCCATAAAATAGAGTATACATATTTTTGTATATACAACATCATTTTTATTCATGCTAAATTGTGGGAACTTCAACACTGGATTAATGGAAGGAATAAAAGGAAAATCTATGCAGTTGTCCGGACATTCAGAATATTATGTAGGAAATAGGAAAAGAGAGAGAATTGAAAATCTTCTTTTTGCTTGCTTGATTTGCTCTATATCCTGTTAATATTTATCCTCTATAACTCTAAAACATGTTAATAGATTTTGTGTGTGTGTGTGTGAGCATTAGACTAATAAAGTCAAATCTTATCCTAAAATGTGTATGGAGGTTTGATATGATCTCCTGTGATCAATTATGATTTTATAATCCTAATAATTCTACAAATGGTATTCAAATCCATAATGTTATCTGATTCTTTACATAACAGGAACAGTTGTGAGCATTCTCAATTGTAACTGAAGAAGACCTGGAATCTAAGCTGCTTGTTCAAGGTCATTCTGCTCATTAAAGGCAGAACTCAGAATTCAAACCAGATCATCTCATTCCCAGCTTAGCGCTTTTGCCAAAGGATTCCACTATTTAGAAGAAGGAAGTTGACACCGAAATTTTATGTAGCTTCATTCAGGGGACTGTGGAGTGTTAAAAAAAAAATGACAAGAAGAAGGAAGGAAAAGCAAAACCTGGCCACGTGCTTTAAGATTCACCTTTGGGAGGAGGCAGAAATTTGTAAGTAAACAAGAAAGGCATGGTGAAAATAATTATGGATGATTTCTGAGGATTTTAGGAAATAAAATTCTAGTAATCTGGCAATGTTTGGAACTTCAGTTACCTAGAAAGACTTACACTGACACTAACCATGGCTGAAATACTCACCTTTAAAAACTTCACAAAACACATCAAAAAAAAGAAAGAAAGAAAGAAAGAAGAATGATGAAGAGGAGGGAAAGAAGTAAAACACAGAGATACACCTTCAGGGGTCATTTCCTCAGAACCTAGAGCGTGGTCAGCCTACTGCCTTCCCTCAACTACTCTCTACTCAAAAACTTACACACAAACCCCGATAAGCATCCACATTTATGTTTAGGAAGTCTGCAGAAAAAGGAATTCTACTTTTATACTATTGAATAAAAATTGACATTATCACTTAAGCACCCAAGGGGTTTGTGTTTTATAGGAAGGTTCTTTTCTCAATGGCAAAGGGAAAGGACTGCTCTTTGGTTCTGAGGAAATCCACTCAGATTTTATTCAGAGTTTAATATTCTGCTTTAATCTAATGAGAAAAGAGTCAATGCTGGTAGTAACCAAAGGAATTTTTTTTTTCCAGATTGTGATCATCTTGTCTGTTTCCATGAATTAGCAGCCGATGTTTCTCATTCCCACTTCCATAGCAAAATGGAAGAAATGAGTTGTACCCAAATTTTTCTGGAATAATGGCACAAAATGATTTGTTTTAATAAAAAAATTAATAAAATACTTGTTGTATTACCCAAATAAATTATAATCATTACAATTAATGTTACTTTGGAGTTGAGGGGGTCCAGTGAATCCCACAAGTAAAAAAATGTTAACCACTTATATTTGTAAGGAGGTAAAGAATCAGAGTGCTAGAATTCCTGTTAATAAGCAACTTGGAGGGAAGAAGACATGAATTAGAATGCTGAAAACAGGAGGAAAAGAGAGGAATCAGCAAGCAGGAAGTCTAAAAGGAACTGACCAGTGAAAATTCTACTACGGTGGAGTTGCTGAAGAACATTTTAGGAATTAAATTCTCTAATGTTTAATTTATCATTTCAATTGGTTCTTTGATTTTTTAAAGCGCTGCACTCTCTCTACTCATCCCAAGGAGTGTGTGTGTGTGTGTGTGTGTGTGTGTGTTACATGAGAGTTAAAGTCTATTACCTCTATAATTATTTTGTATGGAAGAGATTTTGGTTGAAATGATTAAGAGATGGGTTTCTCATTATAGTTTTCTATAAGTAGGATTAAGGAAGCAGAAACCCAGAGGCCACAACTGGCATTCATTCCTTCATTTAATCAGGAAATATTAATTGAGTATCAATTATTCTAGGCAAGAAGGATGGAGCAGTGGGCAAAAACACAAGTTTCCTTTCCTCATAGGGCTTCGATTCTAGTAAGCAAGAAAGATAACAATAAATCAAAATATAAAATAATGCCAGGTAATATTAAGAAAGATAAAGAGAATATTTTTAAAGTGTTAGAGAAAAAAATGACATATTACATCTGAAGGAACAATGATAAGTATTTCCACTGACTCCTCATCTGAAAAAGGGAAATTCACAGGCAATGGAACAACATTCCTAAAGTGGTAAAAGAAAGTGATCGTCATTCCAGAATTCTGTATCACAAAAATATCCTTCAAACATAAGGGCAAAACAGAAATTTTTCAGGTTAAAGAAAAGCTGGGAGAATTCACTGCCAGGAGACCTGCAATAAAGGAAATTCTTCAAGCCAAAGAAAAATGATACTAGATATAAAGTCAAATCCATAGAAAGGAATAAAGAGTATCAAAAATGGAAATTATGTGTGTAAATTAAACACTCTGTTATTTATTTTCCTCTTGACATTTTGTTAAATGATAGTTGACTTTTTAAAACAAAACGATGGTGATAAAAGTGGTTAGGAAACAGTGATGTCTTAAGCAGAGGGATAGTAATGCAAATGTTTTATATCTTGATCTAGGTAAGATTATAGAGTATGTATGTAAGTTAAAATTCATCAAACTTACACAAGTTATACCTCCTTTACTGCATGTAATTCTTCTTCAATAAAGTATTATTAGAATAAAAAAACATAAGGACACAGGTTTAAAGTCAAGTGATGGAAAAAGATATAACAGGAATATACTAATAAAAGAAAGTGTTATAGCTGCATTAATATTGGTCTTAAAGGAAAAATTATTATAGCTAAAATAATGTGTATATAAAACTAAAATGTTAATCCACAAGAAGATTTTTAAAATGTAGTCTCAAAATATAAAGCAAAAATTGACAGAACTATGAGGAAAAATAGAAAAATCTACTTCATAGTAGGACATTTCAACACATCTTTCTCAGGAATTGATAGATCAAATAGAAAACAGTTTCCATAAGGTTATATAAGATTTTAACAGTAAAATTAATAACTTTGATCTAATGGACATATATAGACTATTCACCGTAACAATTGGAGATACACAATTTTTTCAGGTATAAAGGGTATATATACAACAATTGACTGTGTGCCAGGCTATAATTATAACAAGCCTCAACCAATTCCACTGATCATAATACAATTACATTAAAAAGTCAATAATCAAAGTCCTATTAGTTAAAAAACCTTTTAAAAATTTCTAAAGTACTCATGCATCAAATAATAATATTATTAATGGAAATAAGAGAATCAGAGGTAAGAATTTTGCTCTCAGTCAGAGCAGAAAAATGGCGTGATTGTTGGAAAAGAATGAGGAATTTATGGAGGTTTTCATTTTTGTTTTCAGGTGGGGTATAGAATAGCGTGTTTGGGTAATGATGGAGAAATCCTCAGGATGCAGGTAGAAATGATAATGCTGGTAGGGTATTTGAAGAGGCAGAGTCCTTAAGAAAGTGGAATGGAATAGAATACAGTCTATATACAGGTTGGAGAGGTTTCCCTTACTGTCCATCCATTGGAAGGAAGGCAGAGGGAACAGGAACACATGCAGGTAGATGAGAACATCTAAAGATGGAGAGATTAGAAGTTATCCTCTGATTATTTACATTTTCTCGGTAAAATAAGCAGTGAGGCCATCTGCTTATAGTGAAGCATAGGGAGGGCATGTTAGAGGTTTGACAAGAAAGCACAATGTGTTTGATCTTTGTCTTAGACAGTGAGATAAGAAAGAACTCGAGCAGGGAAATACAGTGAGATTACCATCAGGCAAGTCTAAGGACCCCCTCAAATTTTTTACTCATAAATTAAAAGGGAGTCCAGTTGGCCAGCCAGTCTGTTTCTTTCTCTAGCCATGATAAGTTGCTCTGCTGCTTTGCTAAGTGTGTAGTGACCTGGATGTATACTCATGGGAAGAGATTTTGTCAAGAGAGGAAGAAGCAGGCATGAAACCAGCAAGAGAGAGGACAGAGGGGGTCACGAAGATAGACAACAGATTCTTAACTCAGTAAAAGGAATCTAAGCTGTGCAGGAGATCAACAGTTTAGAGGCAATGGGGTCAAATGTGATCTGAAAATATAAGCCCGCCAATCATTTGGGAAATCTTGAGGAGATTTTTCTAATTTCCTGAGGTCATAGAAATAGGGGTTATTGGGAAGAGGGGGGAGGGAAAAAATAGTAAAGAAAAGTAAAGAAATAGGGGTTCTAGCTTATTTTCACTACATATCAGGAAGCAGGAGTGTCACACCTAACATTCAAAAATTAAGTTTTAAGCTGCATTGTATATTTTATCTACCTTTGTTTTTATAACCTTAATAAATTAGACTTAAAATCCCTAGAGGCAATAACCATTGTTTATCTCAATCATGTTCACATTTTTGGCTCTTAGAAAAGTGCCTGACCCACAGTACATGCTTCATAAGTATGTGTTCAATATATCCATTAATCTCACATTTACAGAATGAGAGATGAAAGCCAGAGTGATCACAGAACTTTACCAAGGTCCAAGAGGCAAAAACAAACAGAGCCAGTCTAGGCTTCCCTTCCCACTGGACCATGTTACTCTGGAATAATGCAAGACTGAGAGAAAGGCTATGAATTGTCCTAAAGAAATCAGCTTACCCTCCTATACTGGCCCTGTGCACTTCTTCTAACACTGAGCTAAGGGAAGGTATGAGGCATGTGAGGGATTGGGGTAGACTGGGAAGAGAAAACACAGCAGATGATCTGATACAGCTATATGATAGAGCAGTGACTTTCCAAACTTTTTATCTGTGATACACTGATTATATATATGTAAACATACATAGGTATATGTATACATATGTATATATACATATGTACATACGTATGTGTGTATATACACACATGTGTGATCCATTGATTATATATGTATACACATATACATATGTATATACACATATGTGTATGTATTTATATGTATATATATGTATGTGTGTGTGTATATGTATAAAAAACACATCTCAATCCAGCACAAACATCTATACACACACATTCACAAACATACACACTGAACAAATGTTTAATAGAGCAACAATTTACCCTAACTTTTGGTTACTTACCCTTACTTATGAGAGATAAACTCTGATATTGTGTATCCTATTCTATTATTTCTATTCCATTCTACTTTATTCTTTTAAAAATGCTAGTAACAACTAACTAATGTTATTTCACAGCACTAGCAGGTAGAATTCTAACATTTGAAAAGTACTACATAGAGCGACTTATTTAAGTGTTTGCTATTCTTTCTCCTGTCCTGCTCTCCAAGTTGAAGGAGTGGCCTCCTCAGTTCTTTACAGACTGTGGGATAGCTCATAAGCCCCATCCTCATGATGCAGCCATCCTTCATTTGTAAAATGCTTATAGTCTTCTGAATGCTGACTCCTATTTCCTTTCTGTGCAACACCCCAGCCCCATGATTTAGGCAGAAAAATGCATTATCCATATTTTATAGATTAGGAAACTAGGTCCAAAGACATTAAATAAATTGACCGAGGTCACACAGTCAATTAACAGCAGGTTTATAACAGGAAACTGGTTGTTCTGCTTCCAATTCAGTACTCTTTTAACTGTGTCTCTATCACCAAAACCCAAATTGTAACAAAAGGACCACCGAATTCTACCACACTTCTGGGATTCCCTGGATAAAAAGTAAAAAGGTGGGGTAACACAAATAAAAAATGGATCTTGGCTGGAAGTCAAACGAATGAGGAGAGACATATGAAACGGGTCAGAAGCAAAGTAAATGCTAATGCCCTATAGACAAAGGGATACTGTTAATATATATGTACATGTACATGCAGAGTAGGATAGCTTATTACCAAGATCATTTAAAAGGGTAAAAATACTTACCATGACTTGTTGCCTAATTTACATGGGACTGGCGTTCAAACTTAAAACTGATCTCTTTGTACTAATTATCAAGTTAATAGAAGTTTTCAACAATAAAACGTGAAAAAGAAAAAGGCTATTCAAAAAATCTTGTCTTTTTTTTTTTTTAAATCATGCCTTCATTTTCCTTGGCATCCTGAGAAATATTCTTCTCTCAGGAAATTAAAAATCATCCACCATTGTATGCCTATCTTATGACTATGTTACAATTACAGGAGTGCTTCCAGAGATTGGAAGACAAAGGCTTGACTGTTTTTAGAGACAAAAGTATTACCTGGAAGAACACAGACTAACTCCTGTACTCACAGACAACCTTCAAATTCTAGGTAAAATAGATGATGGTAACAAAATAAGCCTCAACTTAGATTGAATAATAGTAGAAAGTGAACAACTACTGTT